CATAGATATATACAAACTATCAGTTTCTAACAAACATCTTCTGAATTTTTAGTATGACAGCCAGCACAGTGCTGAACAGGGAAGAGTTAATGCATACTCACAAAATTTCACTTTCTCAACACATTAAGTAACTGGGTCAATCTTCTAAAAATATCACAAGGGCAGTATTATTCATGGTCTAGGTCTATCCCCAATATTTTGCACACAAAATATAAGGCAGCTATATAAAAACAAAAAATGTCTTTCATTAAAAGAACCAATAAATTTCTATTTTTTAAAATTTTGACTAGTTCAGGCAGCATAACTATAAACAGCAACAAAAAAAGACCACTGGGGAGAATTTTAATGCGTAAATTTAGAAAACTGTTACAAAACCGATCATGGCTACATAATTAGAGTTCAGTTCAGCAGTAACTAAAACTTGAATAAAAACAAGAGCTACAATGTCATGGACAAGTAACAAATATGGGATGTAACTTTCAGTCTTCCTAGTAGGTACAAATTACTGAGAGGCAAAGTGAGAATTTTTAAAAACACAACTAATGTCGGCTCTTTTCATCAGATGGCTGACATGCAGCCAGCTCACAAAACATGACAGGACAAATTTCATCTTCCAAAGTCTTCTTATAGTCAATATCAACACTGTGCTAAGCTGCAACCTCAATGTTTTAGAACGCAAGTACTGTATCACTCAGACTCATTCACAGATTCATCAGATAAAATTTCAGCATACTGCTCATTAAAATGTCTTTATTCAAAAATGAGGTAAGGTATCAAGAGCACATCAAATGAAAGTTTACTATTTAATGTTAGTTTTTTGATTGAACACCTGTGTGCATCATAGACTGGGTGGGGAAAATTCCCATTTCAGAATAATTGTGAGCATTTGTAGACATTTTCCCTCTGCACACAAAAATGCACCACCGTACTAAAACACAATAAATTAAATTCTTCCAATCACCATGACTGAAAGACGGTAAACATAAGGAGGAAATGCCAAATTATGTACCATGGTACAAAACTAGACAGTTAAAGAAACAAAATAATTTTAAACTCAGATTCAGGAGCAGAAAACAACACCTTGAAATATTTATTCCATGCGAACTAAAACAAAATACTGTTGTGTTAATGAATAGCAAAATATACAAGGTTGAGGTAGTATGTTCTGAATGGCAACAATTTCAATGACTATTATTTGTACAATTCTTAGTATAACCTGACATATACAAAATTAAAAGATAAATCTACAGTCATCAAAATATGAACACAATGGAAACAAAAGTCAAATTAAATCTAATGCAGTACAAACTACAGGATAAAATCCAATCATTCAGAGAAACAAACATAGAAACCCAGGCAGGTAATGGAAAAATATGTAATGAGAAATGTAACCTTATCCAATGCATTTATGCAAAAACTGCATTTGTCTACATCATACACTATAAAAATTTCTATTCTTATGATTTGTCAAGGGTACAAGATAGGAACTGTGAACACCTGAAGAAGCAGGCAAGTGTCTGGCTGTAAACAGCAGTAAACAAATACTACCCATCCAAATTTCCCATTGTTTCAAACTGAATAAAGACAAGAGTCAAATTTCTTTAAATAGCTTCTGATGATTTCATTTCCTGATGATTCCTTAGGTTCTCTTTGGAAAAACCCGTACATTTGAGTAGAATCATGAAAATACCCGTAACATGCCACATTTCAGCCTTATCACCTTCATGCTTTATGAGGGCTAATAAATGCAAGTGCTCTAATAGCATTAAATTTTCAAGGCACACAGATCCTCAACAGCAACCATCATCAAAACCAATTAATGATGGATGCAAATTCTAAAATCCCAAAACACGACAACTTTAAAAAAATAAAATACAAAAGTTTCAAAAATTTGTTGAGGAACTGCAAACTACCTTTAGGAACCTTTCTTGTGTTTGAAATTACCTATCAAAGCTTTTAAAGAGCATGTTTTAACACAGCATTGACACACACTACGATGTTTTCCTTACAGGTAAATGGTCAGTATGGCACTCAGTACTATAATGCTGTATTTATTATAAATAAGCTCGCAACAACTTCACACTCAGGGAGCATAAATATTACCAATGAGACTATGGCTGGTTGAGTTTTAAATTGGTATTATACAACCCCACATTTAAAAAGAAAAAAATGCATTTATAACAATAAGAGATTTACCCCATTATGCAACATGCACTAGAACTAAATAACTGGGCACAACAGTACCTGGACTATAGTGCCACGATCCACTCAAGACTTATTTTTCCTCTTGTTTGCTAACATCAACTTGTCTACAGTGGCAACAAAGCTACTCAGACACTAGAACGACTAACAAACTTAATTTTTTAAATCTTTCAACCATATTCCAATTAAATTTTTATGTACATATATTTTCTCTGATTTACTTTTAATAAAATCATCATACATAAACACACAAGAGCACCCTCTCTTCAATGTCATCTATACAAAACAGTTCCAGTAAGCACACATAAATGTGGCAATTTTTGCAAACAAAGCAGAGCACACATTCACATTTACAGAAGCAAATATTGTGAAGCACAGCTTCATGCTGTGATGGCTCTCAACAAATTAACAACAAAACATCAACAACAGTCCTAGTGTATTCTATCAACATGATGTAAAGAACACCTTTATCTCACTTAACTGATGCATGCTGGAAAATTCCCCATCTTGCAATCCATTTTTCAAGTAGTACGCATACTAATATCAACAAGCCAATCCATCTTTTACCTATCAACTCATAAATTTAAGGAAAAATGACCCGTTTCTTTTAATATATCTTAATGCTGCCCTGGGTTTGATCTAACAAATGCAATTACAGGATTTGTTAGGTATATTGTACATCAATGATGCACTGAATAGTCAATCACAGAACAGTTTTGATTGGTAGTGCTTACACAGTGGTATTGTATCGGAGTAACATAATACCTGACTACGGTATACATGTGAATAATATCTGACTGAAGAAAGTTGATATGAATAATATAACAATACTCTGTAGTTCAGGAGAGAAAATAAAGCAGCATGAGCTGCTTTCAAACCCACCCATTGCTGAGGTGGAGGAGGCCCTCTGACAGGTCTTTACAATTAAGTATTTATAGGTTTGGTCAGAAAACATATGTGGGATACTAGATGACATGAGAGACAGGTACACAACAGATGACAGGAATGAATTGCTACAGAATGAGCAAACTAAAAAGAACAAGTATGTATATATAAAAATATATATAATGTGAATGGGACTCAATGACCATCTCAGTATTAGGGTGGGTGGTTTGAGCAGTTGGGAGTATATCACGCCTTTACCTGTAATATCACAGGTTAATACTCCACAAGAAACATGGTAAAGGAGAGACTCTTTAAATCACATTATGTTATGAATGAGGTAGAACGGAATAAGGGATCAGATCCCTCGGAAGCGCTCTGACTACAACTATGAGAAAGGTATGTGTGGAATGCATTTACCCGTATGAAATGATATTTTGTAATGCAGCCTCTTACCAATCTCAAGTGACTAACAATTAATAAGGTTTAATTCTGAAGAATACTCAGATATAAATATACCTGTAAAAATACCTCAGAAGAGTATTCCAGAAAAGACCTTTGAAGGGTAAGAGCTGCGATATCTCTGAAGACCCATTTCCCTCAAGAGACTTTCTGCACGTGTAATGTGCAAGTATTTCGGAGCAAAATGCTCCACCCTGTCTGCATTCATCCACACTGAGGTAGTAGTAAATAGGTAAATAGGGGAATGAGCCTCTCCCACAACAAAATAAAATAAGTGCAAAAGTGCACAGCTATTTATGATACAGATCAACTACCTATTACTACGTAACTGACCCGGTTTGAAATCTTTGTACTTGAGGAAGAAACACATTCATAAGTATGCATTGTGTGAGTGAACATGCATATAGTTCCTTTAAACTATAAAATAATAACGATACAAAACCTTAACTATTTTATGTACCAGTATAACCGTAGTTGCAGCTTGCAACAAATTACATCTATTTTCAATCCTAGACAAATACCAACGTGTCAATATTGTACTGAAGTTATGTTGTTTGATGTATAAACATCAAAACCTACCTGAGTTGTTTATGATATATTATAAATATCAAGAATATCTTGAGACCCTGAGGTTTGTTGCATAGTTGTACTGACATCAGTGTACCAATTAAGAGGCACACAAGTTAAAAACAGATTTTCAAATAAAGATCACTAAAACAAACTTGAAACCTTGACTCCCCATCCAATAAGGTGGTGAAAATTGTCAAGAAGACAGAACAAAACAACAAAGTTTAACAACATCAGAGACTAACATAGCGACACATAACATGCATCAAAATAAATACTATTTATTCCACAACAGCGTAACATCTTCTGAGAACTGCAGGAAAACCACAGCCCGTAGGAACCTTGTGGGCAGCATAAGATGGGAAAGTTGGATGGAATCTCAAGCAACAATACCCTGAATTCACCAGTAGAAACTGGCATACTTCATATAATCAAATATGAAATAAAAAGGAAAAAAAAAACTGTTGAAGATTCTATGAAAGCCATCTTTGGTTCAGTAATCCAGCAATATTTAAAATAGATTCAAGTCATGGATTACTACATAGAAATGTCTACAGTGAAATAAACCCTATTCTGCAGTAATTGCCTCACGCTCTTCCTCACTGAACTCTTCTTCCTCCCCAGCTGATGACTCAGCATCATTCATAATTTTACGATCAACGTCTACTTCATTGTTGTTTTTGTTCCGGAGTTCAGCAGACATTTTGGCTGCATGAGCGGCTGCTGCTGCTGCAGCATGGGCAGCTTGTTCACTGTTGAGATTCAGTCCGAGACCACTTTCTGCAATCATTTGGAGGTATGTGTCCAATAGGGCACTGCCCGTTAAGGGGTTGTGGTGGCCTGAACCCGGGGGACCTGTGTGTGGCTCCTGCGCACCACCTCTGTTTCTTGCTGCATCCAGAGACTTGGCTGCCATCACTGCGCCGTGTAACTGATGGTGCTGTGATGTGGGTGGTAGAGGAGGAGGAGGGTGATGTCTGGGTGAAGAGGGAGGCCCGATCTTGGTGATTGTGGCCTGGACACCACCACCGCCTCTGTCGCCTCTGTCACCTCGGTCGCGGTCTCTGTCTCGCTCCCGCTCTCGTTCTCGTTCTCGGTCTCTCTCCCTTTCTCTTTCGAGATGATGATTGAGGCTATTTAAAGGTGGACTAACAGCTGTAATATCGACACCTCCAAACCTGTGACTAGGCACAGTTAGGTCTTCAGGGTCCATGTCCATCTCATCACCTCGCCCAATACTGCTGCCAGTTTCAGAGGGGGCATTTGAGAATCTCATGTTGTTGTCCAATTTCAAATCCAGTCGAATGTCAGACCTGCCAAACAGAAAAGAATAAGTTACTGTGAAGCTACTACAAAACATAAATTTTTCAAAATCAGAAGGAAGGTGACATTCTTACCTTCTTGGGGGACCAGTGGGGGAACTTCTAGCACGAAGTTCTGCTGCTGTGACTTTAACTCCTGCCTTGGCAAGAAGCCGTGAAGCAAGCTCAGGGTCAAATGGAGATGGCATAGGAAGGACTGGTAGATCCTTGGTTGAAATACCACGATGTTGCCGGCTCATATGAGAATGGAGGGAATTACGAGATTTAGCAACTGTGCCACAGAGTACACACCGGTACCCAGGACAGACAGTGTGCTTATCTTCTAAATGAGTGCGCAGTGTATGTGCAGAGCGATATATCTTTCCACACTTAGGGCAGGGCCGTGGATCTGTAGCTCGAACTCGCATCATATCCAGACCTCGACGGTTCACTGCAAATAAAAAGAAAGGAACATAAGTCATTTTCTCAAAACTGAAAATTGTTTATAAAAATCAGGATAAAGTTCAATGATTAGATAATTTGTGCTGGACATTGGTAAGAAATCACTCAAGATGAATCTAGCCAGGTATCTTAACCAGTCAGCAGAGAAAATTTCTGAGTGTCAGGGAAATGAAAAATAGTTCCATGGGATAGAAATATCATGAAATTTGTTTATATTATAATAAATTACACTGCAAAACCTCATAAGTTTTGACATACAATACAACAATATCTTCTTTACACATTTATTTAACAATACTCTCAGTTACTCATACTAATAGTATATGCCTGATTCTTCTTTTTAAAGACCGTATTCCAATTTTGGTTGTTTACATCACACTTAATGGAACACACCAATGCATAAAATTCCATCGTCCTGTCTAACTTGCACACTGTTAGATTAGATAAATAAAAACAAACAGCTGATAAAATAAAACCACAGCCAATACAAGTGCACAAATACTTTCGAACCTAGTAAAATTGAAATTTCAGTCCACACTTCTTTGGCTTTCTAAATACAAAATGAATCCATTGAGATTTATGAGTAACAAGGCACAAATTGAAAAGAAAGTAAGCTAAGTAAAACACAGTTCCAATTTCAAACTGTGTTGAGTTTTTTGAGGCATATGATGGAAATAATATTTAGATTAGTTTTCTTCAACAAGGGGGATATAGAGCTGCTCCTGATTACACCATGAGGACAACACAATGTGAATTGGTGGAAATTGAGTTTACCCTGTCACATCTAGGACTCAGATCACATGAACACTTTCATACATCAGGCGTAACTTGTGACATTTTCAAAACAACTCAATAATTGATACATAGAGAGCTTACTTTCATTCAAAGTGGACCACTGAGCTGAGACATGGCATACACAAAGACATTCAAATATGAGAATTGAGAAGTACACAAAACTGTGGCAATAAAGAAAATACATTCAAAAGAGGAATTACAAATAAAAAAATATCACAAATAAGCAATTTGCATTATAATGCAAATCCAATATTAACTATAAACAGAAAATTTGCGAAGATTATGAAATAATTATAAATTAATCATACTTTCAGAATACAATCATTGACAATTAATCTTAACCTGCTCAGAAAAATAGTGAGAAACACTTTTATCACATGACTAAAATATCACACCATGCAATGTTGGATACAAGAATGATAGATAGATATTATCTAAATGAATGTGTCATTCTGAATAGCAGTGAAAGGAAAATGACAACTATTTTAAAACAAGGAACATGACTTATTAAAGCTAATGAAATTTGACTTGTTACACTTGGCTGAATGAAGAACATGCTGATTTAAAAAGGTTGTTCAGGAAAAGGGAATGGCTGCTGTCGTTGGCGGATACCATGGGCTTGTAGTTGATGGTTAATGAGGTAATGCTTCGTCTTGCAAGGTTTCCCACATACGTTGCAATGCAGCCACTGGTCACGAGAACATTCCATATGAACGTTCCTTATATGCTGTCTCAGGTTGCTTGGAGAGCTGTATGCTCGCTCGCAGTATGGACACACCGGCCGCTCTGCAACACACACCGCCATCGCTTAGTGCGTGTTGGAGGCTGACCGTTTGTGTGAACTACATAGTTAACATTTACAATAACTGTAATAATGTAATCCCACACAATTGATCTTACAGTCAAAGGCAGCCATTTGAAAATGACAAAAATTAGATCCTCTCAGAATACTAAAAACTAAGATGTATACGCTCAAGAAAAAGAAGATATTAAATAAACAGTCTTCAATTCACAATAATTGCAAGGTAATACTTTCAAACTATCTTGAATATCTAGCAATTTTGTTACTTGTTACATAATTACTACTGTATGAATAAAAATATGCAAAATTCTTTCACAAATATTTTGTTACACTTTTATTGCCAGTGAAGAACCTCCACTAACATTTAGAGGTGGGATCACATGGTCAATAACAACCACACAATTTTAAAACAAAGGCTGGGGAAATCACAAGTTTCCAAATGACGAATGATAAGAACCAGCTTGATAATTCTTGCGCTGTCGAATGCCATGAGAGGATAGCATATGGACCTGTAAGTACTGTCTAGTCTTGAATTGTTTACTACAGACTGGACAAGTCTCCCAATGTTGAGCTTCCAAATGAACATTAGCAATGTGCTGCTTTAGGTTGGAATTGTTAGAATACTCCTTCCCACATTCTGGGCACTTGGGTTTAGGATGAAGAGCACGTGAAACCTGATGTGGGAAGTAGGGCTGATGTAGTGATGACTCTTCTACTTGACTGATGCTGGCCTCCATAAGACTGGGCATCGTGTACCATGGTTGAGAACCTGGTGCGGTAATGGATCCTGGTATGGGCCCAGTCGTGTTCCCTGGAAGCCCAGGCCAGCCGTTAGTTTCCATGGCCAGCCTGCAGCTCCACAGTAACTCACGTCTATGCATATACACATGCATTCATAAGCCAAAAAATGATTCAATGTCTACCCAAACTACTCCACTTTCCAAATGAGAGAAATTCTAAATTCCATGTAGCATATAGATGTTACACACAACCAAATTTTTACACTACACAGATTACAACTTGGAGGGCATTGCCATAATTTTTTGATATAAATGCAATTAGATATTTATTTTTCTTTCATAATTTACTGCTATACTGTATAGCTGTTTCATAAAGAAACTTCTGAAAGTGTGTATACAAGCAAGTTTTTCTAATATGAAGATGGCAAAATGCAAACTTCACACTAGATAAGAAACCACTCAGAAATATTAAATGCTGACCAATCATGAGATCTATAAACTGAAAGTTTTCCATTCTAGCACAAATTACTGTACATAGTAAGAAAGGATACCTCATCACAGCAACCATTCAGTATGTGAAAAGGAATACTTTTAAGTGCACAGCACTGTAGACCACAATATAAAATTACTGTAATGTTGTACCTTTGGTTAGAATTTTGAGAATTTCAAATTGCCTTGTAATATAGGGCAAGTTTGTGCAAAAGAACACATTTTAATTTAAATGTTGGCATAATTTGTAAAATTTAATTTAAATGTACTGAGGATAAACAAATCCTACATAGATTTTTAAAAATTACTTCTGAATTTTACTAGATAAGACAAATGCAAACAAACAAGAAAAACTTACCGAAGTTGTTTTCCTGACTTGCATGAAGTCCTGATGGTCCAGGTAGGAGACCAGGAATCCCTGCTGGCACAAAAAGGAAAAGCAAGTTAAAATCCCACTTATAGACAACACAATACTTGTGGTTTGAACACTAATATTACTTACCTTGAAGGCCAAGTAAAGCAGCTGGAAAATTTGGAGATCGGTGTGAATCCATTGTCAAAGAGCCATTCCCAGGTCCATGCCCATTGTTGTCCTCTAAACTGTAGTCTGAAGGTTCTGATTTTGGATGAACCATGTCTGCCAAACCACTTATTCCCCTTTCTGACATTCCAGTGTCACTGCCTGAATTACTTTCCTCGTCATCATCAACAGTCGAATGGGAAGAAATATGGACAGACGAATCAGCATTCTTATTCTGACAGGGAGAAAAGTACATTGATTAGTAGAGGTGTTACTACGGAACTATCACTGAAAATTACATGATGAAACAAAGTATTTTATTCAGGCTAGAAGAGCTAGCAAATTTCCAGAGAAAATGTAAATAAAGAAAAGTTTTGGATATTTGTAAATATAAATACCTGAGGACCCCCTTCAAGAGCTTGGCCAAGAAGCGAATGATGTTCAGATCCAACACTATTATTGAGCAAATGGTGAGGTGTGCGGCGAGCAGCTGGGGAACCATCGCGGTCCTGCTCTCTAAGTTGTTCTCTTTCTCGATCTTGGTCCCTTTTATCTGTCTCCCTGTCTCTTTCTCTCTCTCGATCTCTTGATAAGTCTCTGTCGTGTTGAGGTGTGTGCCTCTCATCATTTGTTCGACTTCTTTTATTAGGGGGAGGGGAAAGTGAACCTTCAGCAGCAGATTCTCTACTAGGGGCATCATCTCCGGGGATTGGCCATGCTGACTCATTCTGTAACACACAAAATAAACATTAAAGAATTGTGAACAGTATTTTATTCATGGCTATCATAAGTTCAACAGAAGACTTACCATGGTAGGTATCCTGTTCTCTTTGTTATTAACATCAGCAAGGCCTCTAACTTGTAATGTCTGAGCTGTCTTAAGAAAGTCAGGAAGTTGTTCATGGCCAACATGGACTTCACCATTGTACATGAATCTTAATAAAGCTTCCATATCCTTTTCATGGACATCTCTAAGTATGACAATTGGATGGTTGCAGGGATTTGCTTTGAGAAGTTTTCTAAAGTATGGACTACATGCTGAGAGAACAACCTGGGAAATTAAAATTTGAATGAGTTTGGGTTCATTAAAAACATACTCAAGTTTAATTTTAAATAGTTCATTTTTTACCTTGTGAGCAGTAAATGATCTCCCATCGCAGGCCAAGGTGACATCCACAAAATCCTCTTCATCTCGTAAATGTCGAAATGATGACAGAATGCTTGAATGGAAATCATTCCATCGCAAACTATATTGCTGCTCAGCAGCCGCAGTAAGGCCCCCCATCTTCAAGGTGCATCTATTTCCACCCAGTCTGTTAGGTAAAGATGGTTCTTGAACTTATGCAGCCATAACTGAAACAATAAAAGAGAAGACAAGCAAATTAGAAATGCAGAATGGGCACATGCAATAGTGTATCTCTCTTTTATCCAAACAAAAATAATTATCT